AGAGAGAGAGAGAGAGAGAGAGAGAGAGAGAGAGAGAGAGAGAGAGAGAGCCTAAGCTGGGAATGCCATTGAAGGTTTCCATGCTCAAAACAAAATGACACAGGGAAGTGTTTCTTCTTCAGAGTCGATAACCAATTGTGGTCCCATGGGGCCAGGTTCCATCTCAAGTGTACAGCAGAATTTGGTAGCCTTGCCTGTGTGATAATAGCTTTGTAGACATGAAAGATGCAGAATGAGGGGTCATGGATTCTTGATCACGGCTATAGATTGCTGTTGAGTTCAGGAAATGTGAGACAGGGTCAGAGCCCTTGCAAGGCATTCCTGGGAGGCCACTGCATGAAGCTGTGAAGGTGAAGCCTTAGTTGTATTGGAGATTTTAGACTGTTGGAGATGCTAGGGTCAAGGGTTTATCTGCCAAGGAAACTTGCAGGCATGTGGTGGAGCTGGCTAAAGAGAGAGATTAAATATGTTACAGATGAAGAGTATGAGGGATGGGGCTACCCGAGCCCTTTGGGTCCCAGAAGATTTTATCATTACCCTAGATGCTGGACACGGAGATGCAGGATTTGGTGTTTTCCCCATTGGATTTCACTCTTCCTTTTTTTCTGGCCATTATTTGTTGTGCCATCATTCTTACCTTTAAAAACGGAAATGCTCCCCTGCACCTGTGTGTTGGAAGTACATAACCTGCTTTTTGATTTTACAAGGGCTCACAGCTAAGAGATTGTCTGGAGTCTCAGAAGAGCACCTGAACTTCTGAACAGCATTGGGATTGTTACAGAATATGATGATTTTAGAAGTTGGAACGAATGCATTTTCCATTATGAGATGGTCATGCACTTCTGGGGGCCAAGTAGAGAATGTTATGGTTTAAATGTAATATATCTCCCACAGGCTTTGGTGTTTCAACATTTGGTTCCTACCTAGTGGCACTGCTTGAGAAGGTTGTAGTCTTTTTTTTTTCATTTTTTTATTTTTTATTTTTTTAGGAAGTGGAGCCTTGCTAGAGGAAGTGAGTCAGTAGAAGAAGGCCTTGTGGTTTTATGGCCTGGACTCACTTCCTGTTCACACCCAACTTCCTGACTATGGAATGCAGTGACGAACTGGCTTCTAGCTCCTGCCCTCCCCACCATGATGGACTGTATCTTCTCCAAGTGTATATCAGAATCAACCCTTTCCTTTTTAAAACTGCTTCTTGTCAGCTGTTTGCTCACAGCAACGAGAAAAGCAACTAATGTAACTATTTTCCTGATTATCACGAAATTTTGAGCACAGAACATGATAGTCAGCATCTGCCACCTTTTTGTAGCCCAGGATGCCATCTGTCTACTTCTTGTTTTCATACTGTGGTACGAAGGCAAGATCAAAAAGCGTAACAATACAAGAGGGAAGCAGAGAATAGACGGCTCACCCTGGACACCTGCAAAGTCCTAGGCTGGAAGAAACAGAGTTTGATTTCACGTGTCTCATGTGTCTTGCACAAAGAATACTGCCAGTTCCCCATGATGCTTTCACTGTTTCGGAGGCAGGGTAAAAGGAGGAGGGGTGTATAAGAGGGAGCAGAGGGGCAACACGGTTCATTAATTTGTGCATTTGTGCACTCAGCTAAAGGACTAATACTTACTGAGAGTGCATGGTGTAACAAGCACTGAGAAGCACCGTGGTTGGCTCTGAGAATTTGAAGGTGAGTGTTACCACTTGGGTAGTCCACTATGGCGGGATCCATCTAAGTCAGTAGATTCACTAAGCGGGGAGCTGCACTTCTGAGCAGAAACAATGCAGATGTGTGTGTGTGTGTGTGTGTGTGTGTGTGTGTGTGTGTGTGTGTGTGTGTGTGAAATCCAATCTTGCTTTTGTTAAATCTGTAATAGGAGCAAAGTACTTAACACTTTGGATCCACAGAACCTTGTCTTCACTGATAACCCACTGTCCTCACTGCGGAGGGTGAAACATCTTATTGAAGATAATGTATGTAAGTATCCAGTTCGCTTGACCCCTGTGGGCAGTGAGGGAGTGATGAGGTGTGAACATCCTCGTGTGCCAATAAAGAAACATTTTGGTACTCTTTCATGAGAGGACCAAAACCTATATTTCCATATGTACGGAAGAAACAGTTGCCAATGTCTTCCAAATCATCCTCTCGATGACATATTAAAATTTTAAAGGAGAACACAGTTCAGATGAGCAGTCTGTTGATATTTTTCATTTTTTCCCTACAGTGCAGGGCCTCCACATACTCGGCAGGTGTTCTACCCCTGAGCTATCCCCTCCCTGTCCCCACTGCTGGTTTTGTTGGCCAGTTTCAGACATTTTACCATCACCTGTTGTCATTTAACTCCTTGATTACCAGAGAGCCCTGCAACTCCTCTAAATTCCTCTTGTAGATCCCCTATACCACCAATCTGCCTTCATGCCCTCCACACACTTTCTGGATTAATATTTGAGTATTACGTTCTGAAGCAATATTTTATGTTACACGTGATACATAAAATTTGAACAGTAAAAGGATTTATCTGACCTTTGCTTTTGTGTGTGTGTGTGTGTGTGTGTGTGTGTGTGTGTGTGTGTGTGTGTGTGTATACAGTGGCTACTATTGAGTGGTGTTTGTGAAGCTCTTCCTGTGACAGGCACTGTACATTTACACTCTCTATCAATGCCTTTCAGCTTTTGATGGAAACACATATATCATCTGGGGACATTCAGTCTGGGTAGGGCCGGAGAGTCTCACAAGGTCCACAGTGATACTCCTGTCTACATGTTGATTCTGACTAGCAAGGCATGGAATCATTTGATTTTGACAACCCAAGGAGGTAAGGACCATTTCCCTCATTTTATAGGTGTGGAAAATGAAGGTTAGAGAAATCAAAGTTGCCCGAGATTATCAGAAAGCAGCTTAACTTGGGTTCTAAGTCTTGGATTGCTTACTGGCATGGTACATATGATCTGGATTTTTGGAAATCTTTTTATCATTCGAGGGTGATCTGATGTTATCTAAAACCAAATGCACAGTTTGACTTTGTCCTTTCTTTCTTTATCGTTTCTCTTCCTTTCCAGGGCCATTTCTCTTTATGCAGGGCCACAGTTTAAACGGTGGGCCAGGTGCGTTTTGTTTGTAAATGTCTATAATGTGTAACATGACTTACAGTACTTGCCTCTTCTCCATGGTTTTGCAATTCTGAGTTTTTAGTAAAGTGGCAGTCAACAGCCAACCAAAAATATCACATGGAAAATTCCAGAAAGTAACAGTCCATATGTGTTAAATAAATTTTATTACAATATATGATTATGATGTCCTATTACTTTATTAGTTGCTGTTGATAATGTTTGTGCCTATGATATGCTATATAGTTATGGTGACATAGTATGCTAGGGTTTGGTACTCCTGCAGTTTCTAGCTTTCAAACCTATTATGGTCTAGGAAACGTTGTGCTATTGATGGACTCCACAGTAAGCACAGAGGAAGTTGCTGGGGACGGATGCATGCGAGGAAAGGAAATCCTCAGGCTGATTTATTGTTTAAGGCTGGCTCTGTACACAGTTGGCTATGCTTGCCATAGCCACGCATAAAAGGACCCAGCCTCTGTCCTAACAGATCATGTATTTTTTTTAAGTTACATTTTTGTCCTGGAAAATTTATAAAAATCAATATGATCTACAGTGGGAAATTTGAGCTACAAATATCTAATGCAACTTTAAAAAATGATATAAAATCCCACCAAACTGGATTTCATTAAAAAAAATTTCAGAAATAAAAGACTGGCGAAGGACTGCATTTACAGGGAGCCATCAGAGTTCAGTGTGTTAATGCCTTGCTATAAATAATGAAAGCACCGTTTTCAGCTTTGAAGGGCAGTGGGAATAAAAAGGACTTGCTTTTGTTTTTTAAGAAACGTGAGTGCTTTGCCTCAGTGTGACCAAGAGTTGACGTGTGTGTGTGTGTGTGTGTGTGTGTGTGTGTGTGTGTGTGTGTGTGTGGTGGTGGTGGTGGTGGTGGTGGTGGTGGTGGTGGTGGTGGTGGTGGTGGTGGTGGCATTTTCCAACTTTCCCCAGGGTTCTCCAAATATCTTGTCCCGTTTCTACCAGGGCTGAAGCAATTTGAGCGCAAACCTGGTGGCAAGTCACAGACGCATGCGCAGTCTTGCCTCCGTGTCACCGGCCTGTTTTTCTCAGGCAGGTTTTTGAGGATCAGCAAAAGGGGCAGGACTGTATTAGCGAACAGTTCCGAGCCTGAGAGAGATGTGAAAACCACCTCTCTCCTCCACATAGGCTGAAGCTGCAACTGTCCCCACCCCCACACACTTTTAAGGTGTCAAAACATCCTCACAAGGAACCAGCTTGGAGGAAGGGGCCGAGGATGGACCTGGAGGAGGCGGAACGAGGGGCCGGTCACAAACTTTCCACGCTGTGTTCTCCAGATGCGCGGAGTGCAGGATTCCTCCTTTCTCCCGGATCCCGGTGTCCCAGTTAAGCGGCCGCTCCTCTGAGACCCTCTTAATTTAAATCGAATTCATTGTTTAGGGTGTCCCGGGGGACACCCCGGCGTATCTCAGTGTTCAGCTACACTTCCTAGGAAGCCACGGCGATGGGCTAATCCCTGGACGCCCGGGGTTGTGCAAGCTCTGCGCATCAGAGGGTTCGCGGGCGGGCGGGCGGGCGGGGGCTCCGGGATCCCCTTTGTGGCCACCGCCCCCACTCGGCCCGCTCCTCCCCCAGCCGCCCCGCCCTCGGCCCCCGACCCCCAGCCAGGGCGGCGGGCACGCTCGCACCCGCGCCTCCCGGGACTCGCGGACCGCACAGACCGGCCAGGCGCGCTGGGCATGCTCAGTCGCGGGGCGCCGGGCTCGCGAGTCGGAAGCCTGTGCGCGGCCGGGGCCGAGGCGCACGGAGAGCGCGCAGCACTCGCTGCTGCAGCGGCGGCCGGGCTGCGGCGCATCCGGGCGGGGAGCCGAGGCGAGTCCCACGCGGCTTCCCCGAGCCGCCGGCAGCGGCGCCCGCTCCGGAGAAGCAGAACAGCCCGGGGGCCACCGCCGGCTGGCGTCGGCGGGGCGCGGAAGATCGGCGGCGGCTACCTCCGAGTCGCCGCCCGCCCCGGCCGGGCCGGATCCCGGAGCCGTCGAGCATGGAGCCCTGGAAGCAGTGCGCTCAGTGGCTCATCCACTGCAAAGTGCTGCCCGCCAACCACCGGGTGACCTGGGACTCGGCGCAGGTGTTCGACCTGGCACAGACCCTCCGCGATGGAGTCCTGCTCTGCCAGCTGCTCAACAACCTGCGGGCACACTCCATCAACCTAAAAGAGATCAACCTGAGGCCGCAGATGTCCCAGGTATGGAGGCCACCCCGCGACCCTGCCGCCCGCCAGAGGCTCCCATTAATCATCCGGATAATTTCTTTGTGTAAATGCAAACATCTAGGTGCGCTCGGCTTGCCCTGCCTCTCAGCTCTCAGTTTAGGGGCTTTTCCTTCCTTGCCTTGAAATGGTTTAGCTTCTCAGCTAAATGCCCGGAGAGGGTGTATGGAATCCTAATTGCTTTCTGGGAGGCGGGAAGAAATAAGTTATCTTAGGGCACATTTCACCTTTGTGCGCCCCCCCCACCCCCCGTGTGTGTTAACAAAGAGTCTGATCCAGCTCTAAAATAACAATGACAAAAAGGGTGAAATGAAGTGATGGAATAATTTTCCTTTGAGTTGTTTTTACTTTGCATTTGGTCTCCACGTTCTGGAAAGAGGAACCATGCCATACATGAGGACTCTAGGAAGTGGAGGGCGTTTGGTACCGTTATCTGTATAGAAAAGACCCTGGTCGGAGGAAGGAAAGGGAGCAGGACGCAGAGATGCTTCCAGAAGCGCTCCCCCCCTCCCCCGGACCCCCTCAGCCTGTGGTCCGCTGGCAAACTGCATGGTTGTGTTTACAGCTTGTCTGAAACCAAGAAGGGAGCCAGTCCAGCCCCTCTCACTAGCGGCAGGAAGTGAGAAGTTTCACTGGAGATTCCGCTTTCTTTCATTGTGTCCTGTGCTCAGGTAGTGTGGGGGCATGTAGACGCCTGCGGCCCTAGCCTGGCTTGGAGCTACTTCTTTGGGGATTCTGATGAGGTGCAGCCCTGGAAGGCAGTGGGTCCCTCAGAGTCAGCTCAAAAGTCACAGTGTAGCTTGTAGCTCAGTGCTGCTTTTTTTGGTCCTGTCGGAAAGTTTCTGTTCAGAGGATGTTCAACACAACTCAGAAACGTCTATTTTCTCTTTCACACACACACAAAAAGGAAACCTTTCAACTTAAAAGGGAAAGGAAAGAACCCCTTTTCATGACACATTTTAGCACTAGTCCTGTATGATACAAGTTTCAGCCACTTAACCAGAGCTGTGTCCTTGCAGAAGGAAATGACCTTATGCCATTTAATAATCTCATACTTAAAGCAGGGGCACCCACACCCAGCTCTGGTTGTCAGTATCTCATCAGGGTCCCTTCTCACTTCAACTTCTGCGTCCCCTGACTGTCTGCTTTCAACCTGTTGGTAGGCAGTCCCCAAGAAAAATACAGATATATAAGTGGTGAGTTCCATATGTACTTACAATAAGGATCAATCATTTTACACTCTCTTACAAACCTAACGATGACTGCCACTTCTGTAGACTTTTCCCAGAATTGTGCCAACTATAGATATCTTGGGGGAGGGGTTCAGTGGTTGTTTCCATACCGTCAGAGCTACTGTTAGGAATCAGGTTCTGCAGTGCACAGGAGTAAGTTCCTGGAGCCCCAATTCCACCTCAGCAGTCAGCATAGTCGTCACCTCAGCAACAGCATAGATTAGGATGCTTGCACATCACGTGCCATGCACATTTCCTGAAAGTTCAGCTTCTGGAATTTTCAGCAGTTACTCATTCAAGTTGTCCTTAATTGTCAAGTTTCTCTCTTTTCTTTACTTTCTTTTTTTTTTAAACAGCTGGGTAGGCTTTGGCCCCCAAAGCTTTATTTGACTAACAATGGATGGAATCTATTCAAATACTCCTTCGTCTTATTGTAAAATGCATTATCTATAATGTAATCTGTTTGATGAGTGAGGATCATTATAGACATCATTAATGAAATGGAGTGTGCATGATTCTCTAAGAGTTCTAGTCCCTGTTGAGGGCACCACAGGGAACATACCAAGATTCTTACCCTCAAGGAATTATTACACACTGATATCAATAAGCCACCAGGTTGTAATGAGGTAAGCAGGGCAGTGAAACGATTCCTCGTTAAGTTTTTCTTTTGAGCTCTGAAGTCAGCCCACCTCTGAGCTTTCAGGTTCCAAATTCAATGATTTCTCTTGTGATGACTTCAAGAGGACTTCTCAAATGTGGTCCTGGAAAGTTAGTACCTGAGTGTGGGGTGTCCTTGTTTCCTTCTTGATTCTCGGCCCCATTGCAGAGAGGTTGAGAGCTAGGTATATGCGTTTGCATAATACAGGTTGTCATTATATCATTAAGTGAGACTTAGTAAATGCTTGTATAAAACACGGTGACATGTTCAACACACCCACAATCCTCAGCACATACTGTATGTTAAGTAAACATTCAGTATTAGCAAAATTGCCTGCAGTATTATACCTGCTATTGTCATATTAATATGGGTATTAGGATACAACTGAAAATCAAAATTGCAGAGATCTACAGGTTCCTGTGTGCTAACACCTGTAAGTATTTCTGCCTCATGCAACTTTTTGGGAAAGGCTCTGGCTGTTCCTGGTTATGAGGTTCTTGCCCTGTCAGCTGCCATCACAGTGTATAAGGTCAAAGGTCTAGTGTATCAGGTGTGTCCTGTGCTGGAGGCATTCCTGTTTCTTCCCCCCAAGCATCTACACTTCCGTATTCCCTGACTCCCTCCAGGTCCCCTCCTAGTTGTCATCTTTTCAGGAAGGGTTTGCTTGGCTTCCTCTCTTTATAAGTTACATAAACTACCTTTTATAGAACCACATTTTCCTTGGTTTACATATCCAGCTCCAAAATGAGCTTTGCTAATAGTGACCAGCATCCCAGCAGAGCTTGCTTTTGTGAAGTTAGAGGCGCTACTCCTAGTATTTGTGGGTTTTTTTTTTCTATTTCCAAGAGTCATTCCTTTTATATCTGACTTTTTCTGTTGAAGATATTAACTTGAAATGCACTACTTCTTTAGGACACATGATCTGCCCGAGTGGGACATAACTAAGAAAGATCATACTTAAGAGTTTTGGGGTATTCTGAAAATGTTTTGACAAATGCCAACAAAGAGGACTTTATTTGTTGTTTTGCTTTCTCTCTCTCTCTCTCTCTCTCTCTCTCTCTCTCTCTCTCTCTCTCTCTCTCTCTCTCTCTCTCTGTGTGTGTGTGTCTCTGTCTCTCTGTGTATGTGTGTGTGTGCGCGTGCGTGCGTGCGTGCGTGCGTGCTTTCCCCGAAGAGCTATAAAATGAGTAGCCTTTTCAAATAAGGGTGTTTATTCTAGTGGATGGGATGTCATTTTGCTTCCCTTTTGTCAGCCTTCTGTCTTGTTTGCATTAAAATGCAACTAACACTGCAAATAATGATTGTTCAGTTATAGGCCTGAATCTTGCAGTATTCATAAGCTAACAGGCTTCTTAAAATAGAAACATAAATGGGGTCCCACCTCTCCTGTTTGTTGTTCTTCCTAGCCATGGACCACAGCATTGTTTTGGTCTCACCATCTTTGATAAGAAGATGGTCTTCAATTAAGAAACAAATACTATGAAGTACTAATGTAGAATTTGCTTTCATTCATAATGGCTTAAGGAGGTTACATGGATATGGTAGGGCATGCCTGTTATTACAGTGCTTGGCACTCAGGAGATGCAGGCAAGGGCACCGGGATTTCAAAGTCACCTTGACTGTGAGGTTGAGGCCATTCTTGGCTAAAACAGAACAAAACAAAATAAAGCAAAAAAGGTAAATGTCACACTTGTTTTATATTTAATGTGCTATTACAAAGATTAAAGTTAAATAGATCTCTGATGACCATTGAAAGTTCAATACTTTTGTGTCTGTGTATATTAGACAGATTTATTTTTCAATACAAACAGTATTATGGCCAGGAAATAATGAACATCAGTGATTCATTGAGAACCCTATTGATCATTATGCTCTTGCAAAAGGTGGATGGGCTTAGTGGCTTGATGTCATTTTTAGTGGCTAAGAAGATCTCCACCAATATATAAAACTAATTGGAGATTTGTAATTACTGAGATTATTTTAGTAGTATTATTTTATTTATTTGGGCCATACTATATCCTGGAATGGCATTCATATATTTGGCAAGGTTCTTGACCAATTTATACAGTCTGGATAAACTTTGAGTTGTCTTTACATGACTTGTTCATTCTTGAAGAGTTTCTTCAACAAATAATTATTTGTTCTTACAAAGAGCCTTGTCTAGGACACTGGCTTAGAGCACTAAACACATGTCACAGAGTCCTTGCCTTAAAGGGATGCACATGGTGGTGGAGGAGATGGTCCATAAATAGATGCCTATGTGATGTAATGTGCAGTGAGGACGTTTGAAGCTGGGTAAGGGAACAGAGAGAAATGTCATTTTATAGAAGGTAGGTTATATAAGAAAGCCTTCTCCGAGAAGGTGGTTATTAGGCAGAAACCTGAAGGGAGCCAGGCAATGTAGGAATGTAGAGGTCTCAAAACAAAACAAAAGTGTATTTTCGGCAGAGGGTATAGAAATGGGAAGGCCCCGAGGCAGTTAGCACTAGGCACACCAGAACAGCAAGAAGACCAGTGAAGCTGGAGGACAGTAAATGTGGGCTAAAATGGAATGAGTTTGGGGAGAAAATGGGGTTCTAAGTTTTAGTACTCATGGGTCCTTATATTGACTTTTGACTTCCATCCTGAGTGAAATGGGATTCCACAGGATGGTTTGAGTGACGTCATGATGTGACCTAACTTACCTTTTTAGCAGGGTCACTCTGGCTGCTGTTTTGCAAGGATGGAAGAGTTGGGCTGGTGCTGCCATTCAGTCAAAAGGCCTGGCAGCCATGACCAGAACAAGGGCAGCAGATGGTGAAATGATAGAGTTCTGCATGCATTTTGACGGTAGAGACCAGCTGGCTACACTGGTGTACTTAGCTGAGAGGGTATGAGAAGAAGGCGGGAATCAAGGATGACTGAGAGTCTGACCTGTGCGGTCATTGACAGAGATGGAAAAGTTTAGAGAAAAAGTTTTTGGATATATGTGGACGAAAAAAAGGAGGCAGACCTGAAGCTGGCATGCTTGGATGCCTAGTACCCATCCAGAGGAAGAGACTGAGCGGGTACTTGGAGAAGGTGAAGATGTAGATGTAAATTTTGGA